TGAATAAAACACAGTGGTATCCTGATGTGCTCGCATCTGCTTAAAGTGTAGATAGGCTAGTACAATGTTGTTTTAGTGTAGTAGGAGGGATAGTGAGAATATGCCAGAATATACCACATGTAATTAAAGTGATCTCTAATTCACAAGGTGAAATATATATATATATAAAATAAACAATAAAAATGTAAGTGAATTTTTTTAACTTTCTGGTTGGATTATTACGCTGCTCATAATGGTGATACTTGGATTGCTCCGGGAAGCTCTAAAAAGACAGATAGCAGCCCCTGCTCCACAGTTTTCAAAAAGGCCGAACCCAGACTGATAGGTGAAAAAGGAGAAGAGATTTAGCGTGGGCAGCAGGGCATCTGCAGCGCGGTGCCCGATCTGGGTGTCCAGCACCTGAGTCGCTCTGATCTCTAGCACGCGGTGCTGTGTGCTAGGAGGGAGCCTGATGCAGAGGCCGAGGGCCGTAGCGTGACATCGGGAGCTGTATCGCTCTGGTTTCTGTTTCTGCTTGTGGTTCGCGGTTTATAGATCCCATTTCTGTTTCGCTGCAGAGTGGCGGCAGTGACCTGTGTTGATTTTTGTCCGATACAGACCTGTATCGCTATCTAAATTTCTGTAGCTTGATTTGTGTGTAGTTCTGTGAGCAGATGAAAACTGACCTAACTGTGCTGGAGCGGTGATTTATTCGCAGGAGGTGTTTGCTAGGGTGTGAGGTGCTAGCAACCAAATATCTGAGTACATGTGAACTTCTGCAGTTGAAAAAAAACGTTCCTGCACAATTACGTTCTTTTATAATCGCTGATTTGTCCTTTATCGTCCCTTGAACTTGGGAAAAGGAAGTGGCCCTGATGCAAGGAAAATAGATACATGAAAAGCCCATCTATATCCCTGTGCTTGATATAGCAATTATATGCATGGTAAATCTGCTTATTGAACATGAGCCTTTCTGAGAAATTGCCTGAACAGTGTCATGCTTCATTTTCACAGTGACTAAGGTGAGAAATATAAGCTTGTCAAGAGGTAACAGTCTTGACTTATTTTATTCCAGATAAGAATAGGGAGTGTTGTTTTTAAGCTGTTCAAGTGGTCATCCATCTCCAACTAGTGCATTTTTTTCTCTAAAGAGGAAGAACAAAATATTTCTTTTTTTCTTAAATGCGATCGTGAGAGTTTTGTGGGCCCAGTGTGGGAGGCTTTTTTTTAAGTTAAGTATTTAATGACAATTATTTTCATCATTTTTATTCCTGTAACACTATCAACAGCCAGTTGTAGCCCAAAGTAGACATGGAAGAGTTGTTCTGCTTGAGGCATCCTGACTCTTTCCTTTCTACCTTGCTGCCTCCCTGTGTTTCTAGTAGCTAAACTAAACGATGAGAGAGTGCTAAAGATTTCATACAGGGGAATGGGTTGCCGTGCGGGGACTGAAGGGCAGCACAGTCTGCAGTCTGCGGGTGCTGGCTGTGCCAGCTGCTGTGGTTCAGCCCTAGCAGCTTCTGGAGGACGTCAACCGCTTCTGCTTGGCTGACGGTTTCCAAAGGGCTACCGCACTGTATTTCTGTGTTCAGGACGTGTCCCCCCGCCCCTCCTCTTCCTCATTGTCTTGGTCTTATTTCTTCTTCTGAATTCTAGGCTTAAAATTCTGCTGCTGCTCAGTTGTTCCCAACTTGCTGTTTCTCAGTCTGCCCATTACAGTTCAATTGCCTTGCTAAGAAAGCCAGTGAACTGGCTCAGACTCAAAATGGCCTTAGCCCAGGAACCCAAACTGAAATTTCAGCGTTCAGATTTTTCAGGGATTTTCAGACTGATAGTATTTTAAATGGGTTTGAAGTTCCCCAGAAAGCATTTCTTCACTTTCCTGTGCGTGTGGTTTACGACATTGACATCTTGCCATTGGCTCATGATAACCATTTTCATTTCCATTTAATGAAAAAAATGTTAAGAGTTATACATCTGTATATATTTTTAATTGCAATATAACTGTTGAGTGTCGAGGGGCTGCAATGTGTTGTTTCTATTGCCAAAAGTAAGTTCCAAATTTTCAATCTTAGTGTGTCTGTGGTAATGATCCCCAGCAGTGGCATTTCAACACTAATTAACCTTGCAATGAACTCGTTACTGATAAAAATATAAACCTAGGCATGACAAAGCAGGAGATGAAGGGCACAGAATTGCTGATACTGAGCCATTGCAGGAGGCTGCCTGGCTCATGTGAGCTCATGCTTCTTATTTTAAGCTTTGCTTGAGATAACAGCAACAGAATAATTGGTGCTTGAGCGCTGAGCTTGGACTAAGGGATTGAAATAACCCAGTTCCTAGGGGGAAGAAAGGATCTCTCATCTCAGGAAAGAGAGACAAGGCTGGCCTCTCGTACCATGTGAGAAGCAGCCCCCCGTGCTAGTCCGAGCTGTGTTGGTGGGCCCCAAGGGAAGCCCGTGCTCGCACTGTGGTCCACGCCGCTCCTCGGGGAGCGGAAGCGTTGGGTGGTGTCAGCCTGGCGTCGGTGGTGGTAAGGCCAGAGCCCAAGACGAAACGCGTGTTTGTGGCCATAGTTGAGCGACAGCTGAGCTGGCTCTGTGGCTCTGCTCCAGCTCCGCGTGGCCCCGTGGCTCTGAAGAGCTGTGTTTTCACGCAGACTTGACGCGACGCTTTTTCTCACAGTAACCCCTATTACTGGCAATTTCTGTGCGTTTGCTCGAGGGCCGTAGGGAAGGGAGGTGAAGATTCTGTCAAATGCATCCTCACAGAGCGCCGACACAAAGAGGTTGTTTAATTAAGTAGCGATGAATAGGAAATATTACTTGTGTTGTCCTTGAAGCTTTATGTTCTCTTCAGGATTGTTACCTGTTGGCTTATGCTTTGATCAAGGCTCAAAATAATGAGGACATGGATTGGTGGGGGTTTATTTTGCACAGTCCAAATTACCTTGTCTAGAGATTTTGCCAAATATAGTCTGCCAGGGAACATGCGTTTGTAGTTCCCTCGAAAGATTTTAGTGTGCTAGTTTACGTCAGGGCTGAGAACAATAAGTGTGCCTTGGAAAAGAGCTTTTTAACAAATCCACAGACGGACTCATGGAAGAGTCTAGATACACAACGGCTTCTGTACTAGCATTTGATTTCCAAATAGCTACAGGTAACACTTGTAGGGTAGGAACTTCATCTTTTCATCTCGGACTGTTTTGGCGGTATGGGCAACCCTGCCCAAGAAAATGGAAAGGGCCACGACAGTCATGCGTTTTACCGAGCCCTGAAAGACCCACAGAACGTTTGTTCTGCAAACCTTAGGAGTGGAGATGATATTCAGAGATTTCTGCCTGCTTTTGGACAATCTCGTCTTACAGGTTTTGATTTCCTGATAGATTGTAGGTATATAGATTGTTAAAACATATTTGCGGAGCAAAATGAAAATTCAGACCTTCTTAAGTCATGGAGATAACTTAAATTGTCCCATTTCCATTGACAAAAATGCCTCTTTGAATTGCCAGTATAAAACACGCTGGCCTATTTTTGGCCACTAAGCGTGTGCAGAAATATGTTCCTGGGAAATGTGCTTCCCTATTTGATACTCCTTAGGAAGGTGGATGTTATTTTAAATTTTTCAGCTGTGTCTGAGTGCTGATACAATGATGTCTGATGAAGGGTGTTTGGCTTTCCTCTGCAGTGCTTATGCCTGTGATTTCCTGTGTTAGCTGTCGGCTTTCTGTAGACCTGGGCCTTTTGTTTGCGTCCCAGGAGTGTTTAGGGTTTAGTGGGAGTCTCCCAGGAAACAGAAGCTGCAGATTCAGGTCTCAAATTCCCTAATCAAAAATAGGGAGGCAGCCCTCATTTTTAAGCTGACTTAAAACTCAGATAATGCTGCATGCTCTCTAATTCAGGTATGTTGAGGCAGCCGGCTGGAGTAAAGCAGGGAAGCCTGTTGCCTTTGTGTAAGGAAAGGTGCTGAATGTTTTGTCCGTTACTGCATTTTCTGTGCCTTGTCCAAAGGACGTTGTGTTGTGGCACTGGGAACGGTGAGTCTGTTGATGACTTTTCTCTCCACCCTCTCGCAGAAGCCCCACGCAGGTGGATGAACTGCTGCAGTACTGGGGAGAAGGGGAAGAGGAAGCAAACGTGAACAAAGATTTCCACCATCCGCACCCCGTGATGATAAAGTACCAGAGTTTTTCCTTAGTGATTCTTGCACATCCGTCTTCCCCTCGAGCGCTACTCGTTTCCCTGGTAGCATAAAACTAACGAAATCACTTACTTTGCATACTAAATTGCCAGAGTTATATGTGAAATGAGAAAAGGCAGCAGCAAGACAACTTGAAGTCAGTAAATAAAAGTGAATCTGTCTTGCTGTGTTACTCTAATAATATGATGAACAGCTCTGCCAATGGCAAGGTGAAGATTTTATTGCCTGCAGCAAGCGCTAAAATCCCACTGCTAGGGATCTCTCCTAGTACGGTGCTGATTTTAAAGAGGAGCACTCGGTAAGTATCAAATTATTGATCCAATTAGTAATTGCCCAATTTATAACTCCTAAGACATTTTTATGTATCCCTACCAAGACGCAGGATGTGAAAGCAGCAGGGGTGAGCTCTAGCTTTTGTTTACGTTTTTATATTGTGCTTGCTACTACACTCACTGTAATTGCCCCTAGAATAGCTTCATGGGGAGAGGGAAGAAAGGAGAACAGGAAAGATGGGAAAGAAATAAGGAAGGGGTTGCATGTCATGAACAATCCCCCCAGTCCTAGTCACCATCCTCACCATTGGGGAGGAATCCAGCTCATTCTGTAACTGAGAGGTTTCACGGTGGAAAATCTAGTGCAGGTGTGAGCTCAGATCCCCACCTGGCTACACGGATCAGCTTTTCACCCCCTCGACAGGCCCTGCTTGGAGCGCTTCTCGCGCTGAGCGCGTGGAGAAGTGTAGATGGGTGAGGGGGCTGGCAGCAAGGAGAACAGGACGACTCGGTTCGTTTGCCCCCAAACTGCAGCTAAATGAGGAAGTTCCCATCTCATGCTGCTGCTTTTGCAGAGCTTCGTTTGTTTAGAAGCAAAGACTTCACAGAAATCTCGGGTATCATTTAATTGCTGTTACTTTCACAGGTGCATCATTTCAAGTAGGCCAGTACTCTTGGATTTTGGGCATATGAGGGTCCAGATTTAGCAATGGACGGAACGTACTGCTGCTGCTCAGTGCCTGGAGGGCTGGTGAATATCTGATGAGGGAGACGCGAACGTTTCTCTGGTGTTCAATGGGCTGGTTTCTTGGGGGAGATGTCCAACTATTCGTTTAGTCTCTGTATGGTCGATGTGCTTTTGTAAAGGTAGGATAAACAGTATAATTGCTGCTCATGACTGGGATCTCTTAATAGCCCAGCATTTAAAGCCAGTTTGAGCGCTAGGGTGCATGGTGTGGTAGTAAGACTATGTTAATTTTATTTCATTGGCTTTCTTCTTGAGCGCTTGGGCTATCTTGTTTCATGAGGTAGATGTTTGGACTCGTTTTGTTCTGTCTACGACTTCTGATTTCTGGAGAAAACTTGTCTCGTAGCAATCCTGTCTGTTTTAGAAGAGGAGCTGCTGTGAAGATTATGTTGAGATTGGTTACCCTTTTTAGTTCGCCTTACCGTTTGGCGTTCAATCTTTGTGGCTACCGCCTCTGCTACGATACTGTCACTCTTAATGATTCTGATAAAGTGCAATTCTAGACGAAAATGTAACCTCTTAATTTCAGGATGGATGGGCCACCTTGGGATATACGTGATGCTGTGCTGTGAATCTGAATGGAGAATCTATTGCCTCAGGGGCTCCGTACCGAAATGAACCGCTAATGAAAGCGCAGCAGACTCCTGAAAAGAAGCACGGAGTGGAACAGGTTTGACAGCCAGCGTGAAGGTCACTTTGAAGTAAGAACAGTCCACTGTTAAGCCCGCTTTTTCTACCGGGTTAGGGGCCCTGGTATATTTTAGGGGCATTAGAGCTGTGTTGTTGTATTCGGTCATCTGAACAAACTGAAACAACACTAAAATCTCCCTAAAAATTGTGGTTGAACTACCCAATGAATGGCAGTTGTGCACGTGCATTTGCGAATTACGCTAAATAATAACCCCTGTGGAGCTGAGCTCCCTTTTGCTTGCCAAATGTTGGAGAAGAAAGCAGCACTTTCTGCCACTGATGTTGTATGTGTGCGCTGTACAGTGACAAATATTCTTCCATTTTTAATATTCACATACTCTAGAGAGTCTTGTGGGAGAAGGATAAAGTTTAGATCCTTATTCGATACTTAGTGGTGCGTATCATGTAAATGTTGGGAGTGGGGAGGGAAGAAATACGGAGTGAACCGTATTCCAGGTACCTAACTGTGTCCTGGCAGGTACGCTAGAGGAGTTCTCGTTTGGCGCAGCGGGTATCAGCGAGGTTTGGTACAACGAACTAGATTTGTGTGTTTGACTAGGATGGCGCCGTTATGAGAGTGGATGGCAGCTAGGGAGGGAACAACTGATCGTTTTGTTCCCGTGGAGATAACAGGCTCCTGGAAAAAATCAGATGAGAAATTGCAGCACTCTGATAACACTTTATCACAAGCCTAAGATGCTGCGGTGCATTCTAAGGAAAGTACGCTATAATCTGCAGTAGTGTAGCATCTGCTATCAAGCGGCTATTGCAGTAAAGCCCTTTCCTCTGAAATCTGTCAGAGTGGTTTGCACTATTTTTTTTTTTTCCTCCTTAGCAAGCTTCTAAAATAAAACATCTGCTTGCCTGTCACACCACGGTACCCAGGAAAGCAGGACGACAAGTACTGTAAAACTGAGCCTCTCTCCCCTCCTATGCAATGCTTGCTTCACTCCGTATTTCCCGAGTGCAGAAGGAAGGTGCTTTGATGCATGACTATACCGCAAATCCTTATTTTGTTTTTCTCCCCCCGAGTATTGTGGTCCGGTGTTTGGTAAACACGCGTTAGTCTCATTTATGTAGAAGAACATGTTAACAAAAACAGCTTAAGAAATAATTGTGGGCGTGTTTCCACTGATCTTATGCCCAAACAACAGAACCCCTTACTATCTGAACAGTCAAACTGTTATTAACAAAGCTATCTGCAAGTAAGGTGTTCCTCCTCGGGGGGAAAAAATGGGACCGGAATCCAGCCATTAGTTAATAAATAGAAAAGGAAAGCACAGTTATAAAAAGCAAGTATACCGCTTGCTATATATAAACTTTCAGTGATTCTCTTATTAGATGTTTTTCTCATATCATTTTTATTTCAAGAGTTTAATATTTCACTACATATGAAGTGGAAACACACGTAGGTTACGTACTCTCTAACAATAATATGATGGTGGCTTTTTTTTTTTTTTTTTAAACGATTTGCCCCTAACATCTCTGAAACTTTGCAGAATGTTTTAGCCTTCCTGCTCTTGCGAAGCAGCAGCTGCCAACCTTGTACAATGCTAAAATCCTATCTAGAACCTTTCTAATGGAAAGTGGTTTGTGTGATGCTTGGAATGGCAGCTCACTGAGAAATGAACATATTTTTTATGTCTAAATTTATGTCTAAACAAGGGATTTTGATATTTTAACGTGTTATTTTTCTGTGTTGCTGGCTATCTATTCCAAGTTAATTGGAATACGATGCTTAAAGGAGATGACTTATTTAGATGTGCTTATTTATGCATAACATGGGAACAGCTTGGAGGTGTGCCCACAGCTAATTTCTAGAAGATGCGGATCATGCATAATATAACTAGGGATGTTAAGCCTGTGGCTGTTTGCGTGCAGCTCTCGTGGAATTCCTCACTCTGTGGCTGAATTCAGCCAGCGTGAACGGGGAACAGTCGTAAGCCTGACGGGTCACTGTGTCATCCAGGGATGAAAACATTCTCCCTGAGCTTCCTGGCTGTGCCGTGCTGATGCTTTCCAAATGCTATGTATACGAGTCATCTGTGTATGACTCGTGTTGTGCCACTAGGCTAACACAGTCCTATTGAATATCTTTAGATCTGTCCATATACAACTGCTTTTAAAGGATGATTTCTCTTTCACTCTTGAGTAGGTGATGAAGCTAACACACATACTTACCAAGCAGTGCTGTAATTGCTAGAACAAGGAGCTGTCCAGTACGATACATATGACTTGAAAACTGGTAGGATATGGGAACTGATACGACATGAGTGAAGTCTAAAGCTATTCCTGTAT